GTAAGATTCCAGCCATTTCTCGCTGGCTGGGCTGCCATACTATGGTAGTCCAAGCCATCATCATCCCTCCAAAGCTCCTTCAGTGCTTTGAGGCTTTCACTTCTGATTTCAGTCTCCACCACTCATCCCCTGCTTCCCCATGACCGCCTGGAAAACACCAGTGTGATTCCACCCCAGGGCCTTTGTACTTGCAGCTCCCTGTCCCTGCGGAGATCTTTCCCTGAGTATCATTGTGGTTAACTTCCTCCCTCATTCTGCACTTGGTTCAACCGTCTTCTCTGTGAGGACTCTTCTGACCACGCTGTTTTAATATTCCTCCCCTTCCCCTTCCGCCATGGGCCGAATCTTGGTTCCCTGACCAGGGATGGAACCTGCGCCCCCCTGCAGTGGAACCTTTGGTTCCTTGACCAGGGATGGAATCTGCGCCCCCCTGCAGTGGAACCTTTGCAGTGGAAGTCGTAACCGCTGGACCACTAGGGAAGTTCCCTGAGTTCCCTGTTCGTGTCCGTGTTAGTCGCTTAGTCGTGTCCGACTCTTTACGACCCTACGGACTATAGTCCGCCAGGCTCCTCTGTCCATGGGAATTCTGCAGGCAAGAATACTGGCGTGGATTGCCACTTCCTTCTCCAGGGAATCTTCCTGACCCAGGGATCGGACCCAGGTCTCCTGCCTGGCAGTTCCCCGAGCACCTATTTTAAACCGTAACCCTTTCCCGCTCCCCTGGTGGCTTTGATGGTAAAGAATCCGCCTGCAATGTGGGAGATCTGGGTTGGATCCCTGGATAGGGAAAGAGACCCCGGAGAAGGCAATGGCAACCCACTACAGTATTCTTGCCTGGAGAATTCCATGGACAGAGGAGCCTGGCGGTATACAGTCCATGGGGTCGGAAAGAGTCGGACACTACCGAGCGATAACACTTTCACTTTCCTCTTTCTTGATTCATTTTTCTCTATGGCACCATCACCATTTGATACAGTATGTTTTTCTTCACAACGTCATGAGGGCACGGATTTTTATGTTTTTCACTGCTATTTCCTCAGTACTTAGAACTGTGTCAGCCCCAAAGTAAGTGCTCAATAAATATTTGTGGCTTTTACTATGGAAAACAGTGTGGAGATTTCTTAAAAAGCTGGAAATAGAACTGCCATATGACCCAGCAATCCCACTTCTGGGCATACACACCGAGGAAACCAGATCTGAAAGAGACACGTGCACCCCAATGTTCATCGCAGCACTGTTTATAATAGCCAGGACATGGAAGCAACCTAGATGCCCATCAGCAGACGAATGGATGAGGAAGCTGTGGTACATATACACCATGGAATATTACTCAGCCATTAAAAAGAATTCATTTGAATCAGTTCTAATGAGATGGATGAAACTGGAGCCCATTATACAGAGCGAAGTAAGCCAGAAAGATAAAGACCATTACAGTATACTAACACATATATATGGAATTTAGAAAGATGGTAACGATAACCCTATATGCAAAACAGAAAAAGAGACTCCGATGTATAGAACAGACTTGTGGACTCTGGGAGAAGGCGAGGGTGGGATGTTTCAAGAGAACAGCATCGAAACATGTATATTATCTAGGGTGGAACAGATCACCAGCCCAGGTTGGATGCATGAGACAAGTGCTCGGGCCTGGTGCACTGGGAAGACCCAGAGGGATCGGGTGGAGAGGGAGGTGGGAGGGGAGACCGGGATGGGGAATACATGTAAATCCATGGCTAATTCATTTCAATGTATGACAAAAACCACTGCAATGCTGTAAAGTAATTAGCCTCCAACTAATAAAAATAAATGGAAAAAAAAATTGTGGCTTTTAGCGCGGGCAGCAGAGAAGTTCCGGAAAACCGCTGCACTGCAAGTTGGCTCAGCTGAGACTGCCGCTGTGGTCATCCAGTCCTCAGATCCTGTTGGACGGCTACCAGGCCTCCGATTTTCCAACAGCGAATGGCCACCACTCTCCCCGCCTCTTCGTGAAGAGCGGGAAGGGCGCAGGAGGCCCTTCCCGAACCCAAAGTCAGTACAAGGTTGCCCGGCCAGTGAGCGCCCGGCTCCAGCAAGCGCCACTCCCAGCAGCCGGAACGTTTGCGCGTCGCTACCGCGCGCGGCGGAAGGACTTCGGCGGAGCACTTAGAGAGGATTGAGCTGAACTTCCGGCAGAGCAGAGCTCGGCAGGACAGGTAAGTCAGTGGTAGAGGTTTTCCCGGAGCTGAGGCGGGGACCCGCCGCCTGGAAAGCAAGGCAGCGGGAGGGGCTTTCGCGGCTGGGAGCGGAGACTGAATGACCCCGAACTGCCTCGTAGGGAAGAAGGGTGTGTGGGAGCGTATGGAGAAGGAGGAGGAGAATTTCCGTCTATGAAGCCGCATAGAAGCATCTATCTAGGGCAGCAGTTTGGAGAGTGACTCTCTTTCCCTAAGGCAGGGCGCAAGTTTGGTACTTGTGGCTCTGGGTTCTAGCTTGTGATCATCTGTGTGGCCTCAATAGTTACCAACCTCTGAGCCTTGAGGTCCACACCTGAAAAGCAGAACTGTTATCACCCTTGCCTTTCTCAAAGTGCTTGGCAGGGCTAGGTGTGAGGGAAAGCTTCATAAATTTCGATGTTTGGTGCAAATCTCATTGTTTATAGCATTCTGAGCTCATGTGAAGGAATCACACCACCAGGCTTCTGAGGGGAGTGGCTTTGCAAGAAGGTGGACTATTCAGTCATAGGTAGTTGAAGATGCTGCTGAAGAGGTTACCAAGTACATCTTTCTCCAGGCTGCATAAATCCCTTCTCTATTTACTGCATGCATTGTAAATATCCAGCTTCCCTTTGAACATCTGCGGTTATGAAGATCTTATTACCTTTGTCCTATCCCTGTAATTTCCCATTGCAGTCAGTTCAAATTAAGAAATTCTTGTATGCAGAGAGCCAGAGGTGTTCCTTATTGCAGCTTCTGCTCATTGGTTCTCACGTTGTTTCTGAACTTTCAGGGAATTAAAAGTTATAAACTAAAAATAAAATACTTTAAATATTGATGTGATGAACGGCAGTAACCACATCTTTAAGAATTTAAGCTTTTGATTTTTTTATATTCACGATAAATACAAACACACCTCCATGGAAGATCAAAATGTTCAGTTTAGTCGCTGCTTGCTGTGTTACTACAGTCATCATTAAGCCTATAAGGCACCAACATAAGTGTGTTGAAAAAGCACAGATGACAAAATTAAGTCATTTCTTGTTATTTCAGGATACTAAAGTGGAACACTTGATCTCCTGAAACAATTGAATCCACAGAAGTTTAGTAAACAATATCTGATTGTAGCAGGTGCCGAGAAAGCAGTGATGCCATAAAGGCCGTTTTCAATTTATCAATAGATTTTAATTCCAGAAGTTCATTTATAAAAGTCTACATTTATTTGGATTTTTAAAGTATATTTTACTATAGAACAATGAAATAAATGGAGAGTAGTGTGAAAGTGAAAATGTTAGTTGCTCAGTCATGTCCGACTCTTTGTGACCTCATGGACTGTAATCTGCCAGGCTCCCCTGTCCATGGAATTCTCCAGGCAAGAATGCTGGAGTGGGTAGTCATTTGCTTCTCCCTGGGATCTTCCCAACCAAGGGATTGAGCATGGATCTCCTGCTTTTTTACAGTCTGAGCCACCAGGGAAGGCCAAATGGAGAATGGGTCTTGGTTATTGTCCTTATCACAAAAATTAATCTTTTCCCCTGCCAGTGATGGGATTTGTTCTGTCCTTAATGTCTTGGCACTTAGGATTCCTTTGATCCTTCATTTATGAAAAAAGGAAAATGAAAGTGACAATGTAAGATGGAGAGGGAGATTCCATTGGGGAGGGCGGAGGTGTGAATGTGATGGGTGTTTATTACTTGGTTATGGTTAATAGAGTGGCTTCCTAGGTGGCTCAATAATAAAGAACCTGCCTGCCAATGCAAGAGGTATGGGTTCCATCCCTTGGTGGGGAAAATCCTCTGGAGAAGGAAATAGCAACCCATTCCAGCATTCTTGCCCGGGAAATCCCATGAACAGAGAAGCCTGGCGGGCTACAGTCCTTGGGAATGCAGAGTCCAATGTGACTTAGTGACTAAACAGCAACAAAGGGTTAATAGATGCCTCCCAACACCAATTTTGTCCCTGATTATTAAAAAAATACACTTTCATATTGAAAAGATGAAAATACAGAAAAAATAAACAAAAACCCAATCATCCTTAACCCTAACATCCACTCAAAACCATTTGTCCTATTTATTAAATTACTAAATAGTTCCATTTTCTTTTAATAGTTGAGGTTATAGTGTAGGTTTGCCATTGTATTGTTTTAAAAAATTATCCTGGCAGTCCAATGGTTAAGACTCTGCCTTCCAGTGCAGGGGGTGCAGGTTTGATTCCTGGTGGGATAACTAAGGTCCCATGTGCCATGGGGAGTGACCAAAAATTTTTAAATAAATAGATTTTTAAAATTTATGAACCATAAGCATTTATCATTTATGAATAATAATAAATTTTATTAAGCTTGATGATGAGAAAATTCACACAGACACAAAGGTGGAGAGGTAGTAAATGAATCACCATGTATCTATCACTCAGTGATAAGAAGCAGCAGTTGTAGCTAACATTGTTTCATCTATACCTGTACCCACTTCTCATAATTCTGTAGTTCTGTCCTGTGACACATCCTTAATGCATTTTTATTAATTGTAAAGAGAAGCTTATTTATATTGGTGCCAAATTTGAGCATAAATATTTGCATTCTTTCTTGGGGGTATGAAAAAGTTCCACGAGGATTTAAACTGAGTGATTGCATTCAACTACAATTATTGAATAAATTGCAAAGAATAATATGACTTTGCAGTCCGAGTTTTTTTTACTTTGTATGTTTATTTCCCTCTCTTTATTTTTCAAATTTAATTATATACATCTGGTAACTATCATCTTTAATAAATTCATAGTATAATGACTTTTTTACAATATGTAAGGTACAAAATGGATGAAGAGCCTGAAAGAACTAAGCGATGGGAAGGAGGCTATGAAAGAACATGGTAAGTAGGGCATTATTACTCTCTTCCCTTTTAGACGTTGTTTTAGGTTTTTTTCTTTCCCACAACACTTTCAAAGTATATTTTACACATGTTAAAATTCACCTGTTTCTTATGTATAATTCAGTGATTTTTAGAAATCTTCAGGGCTGTGCAAATATCAACATAAACCAGTTTTAGAACATTTTTACCATTCCAGTAATATCCCTCATGTCCATATACAATTAATTCCATTTCCACCTCTAGTCCTAGGCAACCATTAATCTATGTACTTTCCGTCTTTTTAGATTGGCCCTTTCTGGACATTTCATGTAAATGTAATTATATAATATGTGGTCAGTTTTGTCTGACTTCTTTAACTGAACATGCTGTTTTTAAGTTCAGCCTTATTGTAGCATGTATAAGTAATTCATTCCTTTTTACTGCTGAATGGTATTCTGTTATATGTTTATGCCATATTTTTTATTCATCCTCCATTTGATGGACATTTAGATTGTTTATAATGTTTGGCTGTTATGAATAATGTAGCTGTGAATATTCAGGTGCAGATCTTTGTGTGGACACGTTTTTGTTTCTCTTGGGTTAATAAAATTTTAGCTTATCTTTTCAAACAATTAAATATTTCCTATAGGGAGATTCTTAAAGAAGATGAATCAGGATCACTTAAAGCTACAATTGAAGACATTCTTTTCAAAGCAAAGAGAAAAAGGTATGTAACCTTTCTGTGTGTGTTACAGAGGTAAAATATACTCCTTTAAGACTTTTTGTCTGCCTCTGCCTACTCCTCAGTACTTCATTTGAGCTGTGTTTCAGAGAACCTGACTTACACCCTTTTAAATAGGGGGGTAGACTCAACAACCTAATGCCTCATCAGGGAAATTCATCTTCAGGGTTTATCTAAAATGTACATAATTATATGCATCCCATAAGTTAATGATTTACTTCCCTAGAAACGTGCACTTTAGTTGAAAAGTAATTGTAATGACGTTAGTTGTAATGATCTTTCATGTAGTATATGATATTTCCTTAAAACCTTTGCATAATTTTAACAGGGTATTTGAGCACCATGGACAAGTTCGACTTGGAATGGTATGTTATTCTTTTTCCCTTTACTGGTACAGAACTAGTTTGAGTTACACAAACATTCTGGCTCAAATAGAATAAACTTTTTAAAGGAATATATTAAAAATATACGTGTAGAATATGTAAATGCTAAGGGCTGTTTTTACTTGTTGGTCAAAAATGTATTTGAAAATTGTTCTCATTTATTTGTTTTGTTTATTTGGGGGATTTTATTTTTGGTAGATGCGCCATCTATATGTGGTAGTAGATGGATCAAGAACAATGGAAGACCAAGATTTAAAGCCAAATAGACTGACATGTACATTAAAGGTATACTAAAATTATTCTGATTTGTATTACATGTGAGGAAGGATGCTGAATTCTAAAAGAAATGTTTTTAAAGAATGCAGTCTTTTTTTTTTTTTTTTGAGGTAATGCAAACTATAGCTAAGTAGAAGTGCTATTCTGGATTGCTTACCAAAATCGTATACCAAAATCGCTAATTATTTATGATCTTAAATTCCACTCCATGTTAGGCTCTTGCTTCGTCAGTTTTTCCTTTTCTTTATTGAATCTTCATTCTCCTTTGACTTACTTGTATTAATCTCCTCAGCTTATAAATACATTCAGATTATTCCTAACTTTTTCAAACCCATCTTCAGTTTTGTTCATTTTCCTGTTTATCTTTTTTGGATCTTTTTCTTGTTTAGATTGTTTCTGTCTTACGTGTCTGAATGGTTCCATCTTTTAAGGCTGAGCTTAAACCTGTCTCATCGCTTACCATTTCAAATTCAATTTTATTTAATATTTTAATTTTAATATTTAATATTTTAAAATGTATTGTTTTATTTATTAATTTTACTACTTAACATTTAAAAAAATTTGTAAGCTTAAAAATCATAAGAAATAATGCTTGATAAATAGATTTCACAAAACCTGTTCTCTGTGTTGCTATTTTGCTGTTACCTACTTTTTTCTTTTTGTTTTCTTTAAACAGTTGTTGGAATACTTTGTAGAGGAATATTTTGATCAAAATCCTATTAGTCAGGTATGTAGATAAGTGATATAATTCGGAATTAGCATCCTGATATTATCGCCAAATATAATGTATTTTTTAAAACATTGGACATATATTCTATCACTTATTAAGTTATTCAGATTGTATACAAGTTACTGTGACACTTGGCAATGAAAAGCAAGATAACTCTAGAAGTTAAACAATATACAGTGAACCCATAGCTAAATTTACGTCAAAAGTATTTCACATGTTACTTATTCATTTTTTAACTAGTCATTTATTTTAGTTACATACATTCTTATCAAGAAGAAGTAATTTAAGTTAATAATCATTTTTGTTTTTATTTTGAGATTGGAATAATTGTAACAAAGAGTAAAAGAGCTGAAAAACTGACTGAACTCTCAGGTATGCATAAAATTACCTTTCTCGAACTCAAGGACTTTGCTTTATTTATCTAACCTTGTAACCGTGTTCATGAGGTTGCCTAATAAGCAAAACGAAACCTTCCTGCAGGCTGTCTCGGTAAAACACTTTAAAAACCTTTTTTAAACTCTCTGTCTCTAAAATGGCCTTTTTTTTTTTTTTTAGGATTTTAGTTCCCTGACCAGGTATCAAACTTGTGCCCCCTGCAGTGGAAATGCAGTCTTAATTACTGGACCATCAGAGAAGTCCCTAAAATGAACTGTTTTAAATTGAGTTCTGCACAGTGATGAATAGTATTACAATGAATGTAAATGTTTATTCAGTCATGAAAGTATTAGGATAAAATAATTTAAACATTCACAAGAGCCACTTAATCTTTTTTAAAAAACTATTTCTTTATTTTTGGCTCTGCGGGGTCTTCACTGCTGTGCAGAGGCTTTCTCCAGTTGTGGCGCGCAGGGGCTACTTCCTAGTTGCAGTGTGGGCTTCTCCTTTCGGTGGCTTCTCTTGTGGAACAAGAGCCCTAGGGCATGAGGCTTCAGTAGTTGTGGCACACAGGGCTTAGTAGCCTGGAGGCATGTGGGATCTTTCCAGGCCAGGGATGGAACCCTTGTCCTCTGTGTGGCAAGCCAGACTCAACCACTGGACCACCAGGGAAGTCCCTAAGTAAGATGTCTATCAAGTCTGCATGACCCTCCTAGTTTGTAGTCTCAGCACAAGCTCCAAAGAGTGTTCTTACTGACCCTGGTTAAGATCTGCCCATCCATGAGCAGTCAAGTGACTAAGAGAATGAAGTATTTTGTTGGTAGGCCTGGATTCCACGTCTCTGCTTCAAGTAGGATAGAAGCAGGATAAGTTCCACCTGTACCACGTCGTGTAAGCTGGGTTAGTATACAGTGAGGGAAGGATGGTTCCCCTAAGGAAAGGATGTAGGGCAACCCTCCTGCGTGTTCCCTCCCCCTAGGTTAATAATAGTATTCTCTGGGTGCCTAAGAGGCAATATGTACAGAGATGAAAAACCCTCTGGAGATTCTTGTGGGCCTCTTGAGAATACCCTCTCTTTCCCTGAACAAAATCACTGCTATAAACCACACTGAGAGTAATGTAAATATGCTTTTTTACTAGACTTATAACACAATAGGAGATTAAAAAGTTTTTTGTATGGTGTGGTAGAAAGAAAAGTAGATAGAGAGCCATACGATCAAGGTTTGACTACTGGTCCTGCCATTGGGTAGGCATATGTCTTTCAGCAAATCATTTAACTTATGTAGATTTGTTTATCAGTTATGAAATGAAGGATTTGGACTTAGGTACTTTTCATTTCTAAAATTTATGATTCTGAGAATAAATACTTGATATATATAGCTGAACAAGTTGAGCATTAGGAGTGCTGACCTCTGTATAGTTGAAAATCTGCTTATAACTTTAATATAGTTGGTCCTCTGTTTCCTTGGTTCCACATCTGAGAATTCAAACATCTGCACATCATGTAGTACTGAAGTATGTACTTAGTGAAAAAAAATCTGCATATAAGTAGATGTACATAGTTCAAATACTTACTGTTCAAGGGTCCAGAGTATATTAACTGTGGCAAATAGTTAATATTTTAATACTTATTCAAGTAAACAAGAACACCAAGAAGTTCCAAATGAATGAATGGGCAAAAAAAAAAAAAAATTCATACCAGCATAAAAAGGAATTAAACAACTGTTAAAAAAGAAAATTTAAACAAACTAGTATTCAAAATACTAGTTTTGAATCCAAGTCTATGCCCTGACCAGTAATGCTGAAGAAGCTGAAGTTCAACGGTTCTATGACGACCTACAAGACCTTCTAGAACTAACACCCAAAAAAGATGTCCTTCTCATTATAAGGGACTGGAATGCAAAAGTAGGAAGTCAAGAACCACCTGGAGTAACAGGCAAATTTGGCCTTGGAGTAGAGAATGAAGCAGGGCAAAGGCTAATAGAGTTTTGCCAAGAGAACGCACTGGTCATAGCAAACACCCTCTTCCAACAACACAAGAGAAGATTCTACACATGGGTATCACCAGATGGTCAACACCGAAATCAGATTGATTATATTCTTTGTAGCCAAAGATGGACACGCTCTATACGGTCAGCAAGAAACAAGACCAGGAGCTGACTGTGGCTCAGATCATGAACGCCTTATTGCCAGAATCAGACTTAAATTTTAAAAAGTAGGGAAAACCACTAGACCATTCAGGTATAACCTAAATCAAATCCCTTATGATTATACAGTGGAAGTGAGATATAGATTTAAGAGACTAGATCTGATAGAGTGCTTAATGAACTATGGATGGAGGTTCGTGACGTTGTACAGGAGGCAGGGATCAAGACCATCCCCAAGAAGAAGAAATGCAAAAAGCAGTGGTTGTCTGAGGAGGCCTTACAAATAGCTGTAAAAGAAGAGAAGGAAAGGCTAAGGAAAAAAGGAAAGATATACCCATTTGAATGCAGGATTCCAAAGAATAGCAAGGAGAAATAAGAAAGCCTTCCTCAGCAATCAGTGCAAAGAAATAGAGGAAAACAATAGAATGGAAAAGACTAGGGATCTCTTCAAGAAAATTAGAGATACCAAGGGAACATTTCATGCAAAGATGGGTTCGATAAAGGACAGAAATGGTCTGGACCTAACAGAAGCAGATGATATTAAGAAGAGGTGGCAAGAATACACAGAAGAACTATACAAAAAAGATCTCCATGACCCAAATAATCAAGATGGTGTGATCACTCACTTGGAGCCAGACATCCTGGAATGCAGAGTCAAGTGGGCCTTAGGAAGCATTGCTACAAAGCTAATGGGGGTGATAGAATTCCAGTTGAACTATTTCAGATCCTAAAAATGATGCTGTGAAAATGCTACACTCAATATGCCAGCATATTTGGAAAACTCAGCAGTGACCACAGGACTGGGAAAGGTCAGTTTTCATTCCAATCCCAAAGAATGGCAGTGCCAAAGAATGCTCAAACTGCCACACAATTGCACTCATCTCACATGCTAGTAAAGTAATGCTCAAAATTCTTCAAGCCAGACTTCAGCAATACGTGAACCGTGCACTTCAGGATGTTCAGCTGGTTTTATAAAAGGCAGAGGAACGAGAGGTCAAATTGCCAACATTTGCTGGATCATCGAAAAAGCAAGAGATTTCTAGAAAAACATCTATTTCTACTTTATTGACTATGCCAAAGCCTTTGACTGTGTGAATCACAATAAACTGTGGAAAATTCTGACAGAGCTGAGAATACCTGAGCACCTGACCTGCGTTTTGAGAAATCTGTATGCAGGTCAGGAAGTGGACATGGAGCAACAGACTGTTTCTAATAGGAAAAGGAGTATATCAAGGCTATATATTGTCACCCTGCTTATTTAACTTACATGCAGAGTACATCATGAGAAATGCTGGGCTGGATGAAGCAGAAGCTGGAATCAAGACTGCTAGGAGAAATATCAATAACCTCAGATATGCAGATGATACCACCCTATGGCAGAAAGTGAAGAAGAACTAAAGAGCCTCTCGATGAAAGTGAAAGAGGAGAGTGAAAAAGTTGGCTTAAAGCTCAACATTCAGAAAACTAAGATCGTGGCATCCGGTCCCATCACTTCATGGCAAATAGATGGGGAAACAGTGAAAACAATGCTGCTGCTGCTAAGGCGCTTCAGTCACGTCCAACTCTGTGCGACCCCATAGACGGCAGCCTACAAGGCTCCTCCATCTCTGGCATTCTCCAGGCAAGAACACTGGAGTTGCCATTTCCTTCTCCAGTGCGTGAAAGTCAAGTCGTTCAGTCATGTCTGACTCTTCGTGTCCCCATGGACTGCAGCCTTCCAGGCTCCTCCATCCATGGGATTTTTTAGGCAAGAGTACTGGAGTGGGTCACCATTGCCTTCTCCAGTGGAAACAATGGCAGACTTTATTTTTTGGGGCCCCAAAATCACTGCAGATGGTGACTGCAGCCATGAAATTTAAAGATGCTTGCTCCTTGGAAGGAAAGTTATGACCAACCTAGACAGCATATTAAAAAGCCGAGACATTACTTTGCCAACAAAGATCCAACTAGTCAAGGCTATGGGTTTTCCAGTAGTCATGTATGGATGTGAGAGTTGGACTATAAAGAGAGCTGAGCACCGAAAAATTGATGCTTTTGAACTGTGGTGTTGAAGAAGACTTGAGAGTTCCTTGGACTGCAAGGAGATCCAGCCAGTCGATCCTAAAGGAAATAAGTCCTGAATATTCAGTGGAAGGACTGATGCTGAAGCTGAAATTCCAATACTTTGGCCACCTGATTCAAAGAACTGACTCAATGGAAAAGATCCTGATGCTAGGAAAGATTGAGGGCGGGAGTAGAAGGGGACGACAGAGGATGACATGGTTGGATGGCATCACCGAATCAATGGGAGTTGGTGATGGACAGGGAGGTGAGGCATGCTTCTGTCCTTGGGGTCGCAGTCGGACACAGCAGAGCAACTGAACTGAACTGAGTATTCAAAAAGGCACACTCAACAACATTTTCCATGTTTTAAATGAGCACAATGAAGTTTCAAAAGCAATATATGGCTTGCTGAACCCTGGAGAAACTGATAGTTTTATTGCTGATAGTCTGGTTAATTTGTTCAACGTTTTCTGGAAAAGAGCCATAAAAATGTTCCATAAAACGATTACCTGGTGATCCTGTTGTTAGGACCCTGCACTCTGGCTTCCAAGGGCCTGGTTTCAGTTCCTGGTCAGGGAATTACGATGGCTTAAGCCTTCCAGTGGTCATGTATGGATGTGAGAGTTGGGCTGTGAAGAAAGCTGAGCACCGAAAAATTGATGCTTTTAAACTGTGGTGTTGGAGAAGACTCTTGAGAGTCCCTTGGACTTCAAGGAGATCCAACCAGTCCATCCTAGAGGAGATCAGTCCTGGGTGTTCATTGGAAGGACTGATGCTGAAGCTGAAACTCCAATACTTTGGCCACCTCATGTGAAGAGTTGACTCATTGGAAAAGACCCTGATGCTGGGAGGGATTGGGGGCAGGAGGAGAAGGGGATGACAGAGGATGTGATGACTGGATGGCATCACCGACTCTATGGACATGGCTTTGGGTGGACTCCAGGAGTTGGTGATGGACAGGGACGCCTGGCGTGCTGCGATTCATGGGGTCGCAAAGAGTCGGACACTACTGAGCAACTGAACTGAACTGAAGCCTTGAGGCACAGCCAAAGGAAAAAAAAATGTTCCTTGGAGTATGCTTAGGAAATGTTATGAAAGAAGAAAAAGTGTCACTCTACAAATATTCTGTTTGCATCAGTATGTATAATAGTGACAAGTTGAAACTAATTTAAATGTTCAGTGGTATAAAGATAATCTGCTATATGATAAAGTCGATGTTTTCATTATTGTTAAGTAATATGAAAACTGATGAAATAAGAGGAAAGGTCCGAAGAATACCATATTTTATTGAGTCTCAGATTTTATTGTTTGTAAGATACCTTTATTTTATGAGCCCTCAAGAAGGAAACACTCTAGCAGTTGACCTTTGACACAGTGTCAAATGACATGTGAATTGTTCATACCAGTGTCTTGGTTGTTTGACAGGTCTGAATTTTTGGCGGTGTCTCTTCTCTTCATTTATATTGCTTAGCATGAACTAGACAGTCTCTTCAGAGGTTATTTCAATGACAGCATAACACAATTTTGTCTGTGGAAATCCTCCTTTCTTAGGTCTTAGAAGGTGGCTGTTTTCTCCCTCTGAAGAAAAACATGGAATTGTAGGCCATCTTCCATCAATGAGTTTTTGCTTCCACTAGTAACAGATTTGTGCATTACTGTTCTGTTCCATGCCTTTCTACATAAAAATATAACCTTTTGTATAAACTTTAAAAAAACAAACACTTTAAATAGAAGTTAATATGAACAGCACAAACAGTGGACCTGTTGCAGTTGGAGCGGCAACATAGCAATAGCGTTCACGTGAGCAGGCAGTGCCACCAGCAGCTGCCCAGCTGCCAGTGGTTGTAAGATACATCATGATTTCAGAGCTGTTAAATGTGAACATATGTTAGTATTAAAAATGATGAAATAGGAAATATGAAGAGTAAAAAGTTTTGCATTCTAGATTAATATTATTAAAATGTGTTGCTAATAGACAAAAAGATTATTTGTATTTGGGCTTTTCAATATGAGTGAGACTTTATAACATTTCTGATAAAAGTGCATCTTGCTAAAAATGTAAATCAAAGGGATTCTGTTTAACATCATAAATATGTAAATTTTGGAGAAAGATAAATTTCCATAGTGTATATATATATTTTTATTAAAAGATTTTTCATTTATATTTTAGGAAACCCACGGAAACATATAACATCTTTGAAGAAAGCTGTAGATATGACTTGCCATGGAGAACCATCTCTTTATAACTCCTTAAGCATGGCTATGCAGACTCTAAAGTTAGTATTTTACACTTATTATTTACAATTTATTTCAACATTTTTTGAATGAGTTAAGTTGAAATGATAATGTTAATATGCATCTCCATAAACCTACCTATAATGAAATTGTTATTAAGAGAAATATGTAACATTATTTATAGTGTATAGTATAATGTTGGTTAATAATTTTGATTTTACAGTTTAGTTGCTGAGGTATATCCTTAAAGGTTTTGGAAAAATACAATTAAAGCTATAGCAGTATTATTAGTGCAAAAGAAATACTGTGAAAGAATTTTTTATTGAAAATTGATTATATGTGGAAGTTAATATGGTATAATAACTGAGTATGTTGTATACTGGTTTTTATTAACTTATTTTGTAATACATCTGTAAATTAATAATAGCACTTTTCTAGCAGTTTTAACTATGTAGAATATAGCTAAAACCCCAAAGAAAGTATTCAGTATAGTTAAAGCTTATATATTTTATCCTTAGATAGTCTATCCTAACTCAGATTTTTATTCCTTTAAATAATAGGCTTTTTTAAAGTTTTGAAGTAGTTGAGGAGGTAACACAGACAATGAAGGTAGATACAATAGCAGTATCCATAGTGAAAACTGAGCCCAACAATGAGAATTAAAGCAGGAAAAAGCTACAAATAATCGATAACATTGCACCAAAAAGCGTAGCTATCTCTGTTTAGTTTAGAGGAGAACAGTTCATCATACCTTAAAATCCTGTAAGCCGTCATTTAATTAAATGGTGGTGGTGGTGGTGGTGGTGGTGCTCAGTCATGTCCAACTCTTTGCAACTCCGTGGACTGTAGCCCACCAGGCTCCCCTATCCATGGAACAGTCCAGGCAAGAATACTGAGTGGGTTGTTATTTCCTACTCCAGGGAATCTTCCCAACCCAGGGATCAAACCCCTGTCTCTTGAATCTCCTGCTTGGCAGGTGAATTCTTTACCAATGTGCCACCTAAATGGTACACAGTCATTAATGTTTATGAGTATTATGACAATCACCATGAGGTTAAATTGTAGTGTTTAAAAAAGAAGTATGTTACTATTTTCAGGCCACACATATGTATCTTAATGTTGATTCATATGGTATTGTCATACTTTCCAATGTACAACTTAGACTTTGTATGAAACAAACCTATTAGAATGTAAGCTGCATGATGCCAGGAACCTCATTGCTCTTGTTTATCACTTTATTCTTAGAACTTGAAAGAGTATTCAATAAATATTTATTGAATGAGGAAATGAATCAGTGAATTATTTTTGTGTGTAGCTAATTTTAGAAAAACTGGTGTTAAGGTTTTTAGAGTATACTCAAAATTCATTCCTTTGTAATGTTGAAACAGATGGGGTTGTTCTGTAGTCTAAGTGTATAAACCATGTGTACTTATTTTTCGTACGTGTACTAGTCTTAAGTTTTTTTAATTAATGTAATTTATTATACCTAACTGGAGTGGTTTTTTTTCTTTTTTCAGACATATGCCCGGACATACAAGTAGAGAAGTCCTAATCATCTTCAGCAGCCTCACAACCTGTGATCCCTCTAACATCTATGACTTAATCAAGGTAGAACCAATAATTTCTTCATAATCGAAGCCAGTTACAGCTCTAAAGAGAATTTTTAGACTCTTTAAGTTTATTACTAGAATTCTCTGAGTTTATTACTAGTTTTCAGAACATTCTATCAAGCATATTAATTATTCATTTTTTTCTTCCCTCAAAACTCTCCATTTACTTGGATTTTACGAAGACCCTAAAGGCGGCTAAAATCAGAGTGTCTATTATTGGATTGTCTGCAGAGGTTCGAGTATGCACTGCGCTTGCTCGTGAAACTGGTGGTACATATCTAGAATCTTTAATACTTACTCATAATTATTATGTAAAAAGTAACAATTTATTAGTTAGAATACTTTTATTGTTTTTTTTAAGCAGCTAAATTTAAATTAGTTTGTGTCCCAAAGTCCAAAATGTGGGTAGTCATATTAAATATATCATCAAGTTCTATAACTTATCATCCCAAAATGCAAGAAATTTTTAGTAGTTATGTCAGTGTTTAGAGGAACCATTATAACTACTGGAAACCTAGAAATTTTCCTTTATGTAATACTTAGTGAAAATCTTGTTAATTGGCTTTAATTAAATTGAAAATTACAGTTATTCTCAGAGAAGTCCGTTTAAAGATGTTAAATACATTTTTTGAAAAATGGTAATTTCACATAATCATTTATTTTAAAAATGAGCAATTTTAGATGGTAAAACATTTACAGAATTATATAGAAATTATAGATCATTCTTATGTCTGGAAAGCTCATGTTTCTTTTCTTTTTTTCTTGTCTTGCTAGGCACGTATCATGTTATTTTAGATGAAAGCCATTACAAAGAATTGTTAACACATCATGTTAGTCCTCCTCCTGCTAGCTCAAATTCTGAATGCTCACTTATTCGTATGGGTAAGTGTTTATTTTGTGTTATTTAATTACATTAATTAAAAATATATATGAAAAATAAACTACATAGGTTTGAACATTCCAAAATTGTAAACATAGAAGTATGTTCTTATATAAAGTGAAAGTAGACTATGTAATGAACTCCTCTGTTGTGTCAGAAATTTAAAAATTTCTTTAAAATTTTTTTAAAGTTATTTAAAAATTACATTTCTTAAAAATTTTTTAAAAAATTATTTAAAAATTACATTTTCTTTTTAAAATGTAGTATGTGTTATGTATTAGTGTTGTTAAGTTAGAGAATATGCATATGAAACTTTAGAATCTGAGACTGTATGTATGGACATATGGTCCTCCACATCCCCTGTTTTCCTCCACTATTAATTTTTCTTCTAACCAGAAATTGCTGTCAGTTTGACCATGCTCTAATAAATGTACAAAAGACAGGCAAGAGAACTTTTGCACAACTTTGTGAGCTTTCTGGTAGGAACATTTTTAGGTTTCTATTACTAGAATTTTTCTATTTCCTTGGGGGAGAAAAAGTAATATATTTTCTTCCATAAAGGATTTCCTCAGCATACCATTGCTTCTCTGTCTGACCAAGATGCAAAACCCTCTTTCAGCATGGCGTAAGTAAAAACCTTAAAACTGTTTATGATAATGTTTTTACATTGTTAATTCCTTCCTGTAAGTTATGAACTAAAAAGACAGGCTTGAAATGTAATGACTTTTGTAGACAATTACTTTTTATGTAGCTGTAAAAAGGAGAGAAAATTATATATACTCCTGTAATATTAGCTAATATTACTAGCTAAAACAACAAGGTAGAGAGAAGTCTGTAGTATGCTACCGATCATCTAGCAAACTGGAAAATTCTCAAAGAGATGGGAATACCATATCACCTTACCTGCCTCCTGAGAAATCTGTATTCAGGTCAAGAAGCAACAGTTACAACCAGACATGAAACAACGGATTGGTTCAAAATTGAAAAAAGAGTATGTCAAGGCTGTATATTGTCGTCCTGCTTATTTAACTGATATGCAGAGTACATCATGCGAAATGCTGGACTGAATGAATCGCAAGCTGGAATCAAGATTGCCGGGAGAAATATCAACCACCTTGAATCATTAGCTGAGTGTTGATGTGTATATTCCTATCAGGAAACTCCTGGAGGCCAGAGAAAGAAGCACTGGAGTGGAGCAGCAGAACAATCCCTAGAGCTCACGTGGGCAGAGAATGGCTTATTCCCACCAGTCAGTGAGGAAAGGCCTCTTAATGTCACAGGCATTGAATGGAGTCCACAGTAATGAAACTGAATTTACCCTAGACTAGCAGCTGTTCTGGACAGCCAGCAAACTTAAAAGGAAGTTTTGTCATCAAACTATTTGCTTAAGTATATTTTGGGGAAAAAACACAACATATTTAAATCAATACCAAAAAAAAAAAATCCATCACCGAAAGCAGAGCAAAATTCACAGTATCTGGCTGCCAATCAAAAATTACCAGTCATGCCTCATAAACTTAGAGAATGAACTCATGGTTGCCAGGGGAAAGGATGGAGAGGAGATAGGAAGTTTGGGATCAACGTGTACACTCTGCTATGTTTAGAATGGATAACCTACAAGGACCTACTGTATATAGCACAAGGAAGTCTGCTCAGTGTTATGTGACAGCCTGGATGGGAGGGGAGTTTAGGGGAAAATGGATATATATAAGTAGCCAGGGCTGAGTCTCTTGGCTGTCCAGTTGAATCTATTACAACATTGTTAATCTTCTATGATATAAAATAAAAAGTTTAAAAAAAAAATTACGAGTCATGCAAAGAAGTAAGAAGGTATGACCCATAACAAGAAGAAAAATCTTAGAACGGAAACATATCCGGAAATAACACTGTTTATAGAACTAGTAGGCAAGGTGTTTAAATTATTATAAATGTATTTTATGTGCTCAGGAAAATTAAGGAGTACATGAATTTGATAAGAGATAGGGAGGATAGAATAAAGACCCCAATCACATTTCTAGAGATGAACAATATAGTGTCTTAGGTGAAAAATACACTGGATTAGGATTAACAGTAGTGAAGTGAAGGGAAGTAAAAGTCGCTCAGTCGTGTCCAGCTCTTTGTGACTCCATGGCCTATACAGTCCGTGAAATTCTCCAAGCCAGAATACTGGAGTGGGTAGCCTTTCCCCTCTCCAGGGTATCTTCCCAACCCAGGGATTGAACTCAGGGCTCGTGCATTTCAGGCAGGTTCTTTACCAGCTGAGCCACAAAGATTAATGGCAGATTAGTCACTAAAGAAGAGGAGTGAATTCAAAGACATTAATAGAAGTTATTCAAAACAAAACACAGGAAAAAAAAGACAAAAGCGAACAGAGCGTAAGTGAGCTATGAAACAACTTAAAGGTTTTAAAATCACAGTGGCATCCCTTCTTTTGCTGCAACTGCTCACATCTTTATATATCACTTTTTAAAAGGTAATGTTTCCTCTCCTCCCACTCCCCAACAGGCATCTGGATAGCAACACTGAGCCAGGACTTACACTGGGAGGCTATTTCTGCCCGCAGTGTCGGGCAAAGTACTGTGAGCTTCCTGTTGAATGTAAAATCTGTGGTAAGAAACCAACAGTTCATTATCTAGTAAATTAATCTTGGGTAACTTCTTACCTATATTGCTATTAAATATAAATATTAAGCTCTGTTTATCTTTCCGGATTTGATCTGTTAAAAGAGACATAGGCTGTTTTTTCCATTGTGTGCCTGGAACTTCATTTTTAAGAATAAACATGGCATTCTGGATGGTTCCTGATTCTCTTTCTCTATGTTCTTTAAAGGCAGTGCAGTAGACCTAGTTGATGTTTTTGCAGCTCTTCATGAAGTAAATACACATGAGGAGAATGAAGAATTAAAATAATAGATTTGTAGAATTTTATTTCATTTACAAGTAAGCAAATGGGCCAAGAGCGATCACATACTTAGTGACAGAGCTAAGACTCCATCTTGGAGTCCCTTTTATGGCCACTGATAAATGAAGAAATGAATAACTGCAATCCTAGAAAAAAAAAACTTGAAAATATTTAGCCTAAGTTATATCATTTGACATTTCAACCATCATCTTTGTGAGGTTTGGGTTACTAAATATGTCTTTCTGCTTTGTATGTTAGGTCTTACTTTGGTGTCTGCTCCCCACTTAGCACGGTCTTACCATCATTTATTTCCTTTGGATGCTTTTCAAGAAATATCCCTGGAAGAACATAATGGAGAAAGGTATATGAGTTTTGATCAATTTATACCTGTTTCAAGTGGTAAAGTTATATTCAAATATGTTGTAATTAACACTACATAAAAAAGTGTCATTCACTTGGGCAAGATTATTGCTAATAGAGAAAATGAGATGTAGAATGCCTTGTTTATGACTAAAATGATTCATTAAACAGATCTGGATCGCCAGAAATCTCTTTCCCTGAACCCATCTATATGTAGCAGGAGTGGTGGTATGTTGGTAAATCAGCTCTCCAAAAAGAAAAAAAAAGCCCTGATTTGTAGCATTTGTTGATTTCTGTCATATAAAACTGGAAGATTTATCCAGGGAGCCTAATATCAAAATAATGTAAGAAATAAAGAAAAGATATAAGATAGGAAAGAAATATTCAAGGGTATTTTCTACTATTGAAGAAGAGAATTTTCTGGATTGAAAGGAACTGTCAAGTGCTTGACATATTGAAGGCAAACAGACTTGTACTAACATGTTTCACTGTGAAATTTCAGAGTACGCTGCAGCAAAATATTAGCCCTCAACATTTCTACAGAGGGAGAATGGGGTCACATGACCTGGAATTAAAATTGTTTGGCTTCTGGGACTTCACTGATGGTCTTGAAGTTAAGACTCCACGCTTCCACTGAGTGGGGTGCAGGATTGATCTCTGGTCAGGGAACTAAGATCCCACATGCTGTGTGGTGCAGCAAAAAAAAAAAAAAACATTGCTTGACATCTCGTGAGCAACACTGGATGCTGACACGGAGCAATCTCCTTCAAAATTTGGAGTGAAAATTATTGCCAACTAAATTGTATACCCAGCCAAGCTTTTGTTTAAATGCAGGTCGAGTAGGGACTTCCTTGGCAGTCCAGTGGTTAACACTCCATGCTTCTAGTGCAGGGAGCATGGGTTTGATCTCTGGTCAGGGAACTAAGTTCCTACATGCTGCATGGTGTGGCCAAAAAAAATACAGGTAGAATAACGGTATTTTCAGACTTGTAAGGTCTCAAAAAGAAACTTTCTTGGGAAGCTGTGGAAGAGATAAAGGAATTGAGAATGAGAATGAATGAAAGAGAATAGGAATATTTATCTAATTGAAAAGTGGCTAAAGCAAACTTGTAAGATGAAGTCCCAGAATGACATTTATTTGTCAGACACGGAGAACAGTCAGTCCCTGACTGTTCCAACAGTCAGTTTGGAACAGGTCAGAATGCTCCAGGAGAGATGTCACCAGAAGATGGAAACTATAGAATTCTTGATATAGCCAAACATAACAATAGGGTATTTAGGCTTCTCAGGGAATGGTTGGGGCTGAGTTAGTGGTAATTAGACAACTAAGCTTATGAATAACATAGTTCTTAACTCCAGGAAAAATTATTTTGCAGAGAGGAAAAGTTGTATGGCATGGCTCAGCTGAATATGTCTATACAGTGATGATAAACTAAATATTTAATATTGTTTCATCCGGAATGATTCAGCAACATAGAAAGAATTGAGAATGGGATTTGCTATGTGTGTACTGTATTGTATTGGTTCAAGATGGTTGAAAGAGACTTAAGATCTCATCTTGCATACTGGAAAGTTCATAGCCAATGCCTATGAAAAGATCAAGAACTGTGAGCATGGGTAATTGTCAAACAGTTACAATTTTTAAAAGGATTTACTCTGTAAATGAAGTGGGGGGTGGGTAGGGAGGGAACTGCTCTTTTTTAAGTTAGAGAACTTTTAATTCTTTAAACCATTCCTTGAAAATTAAGCCCTTAGGCATCCATTTTTGCCATAAATTAACCTCTTTCTGTTCATCTGGACTTATTTCAGCTGTCTGCTGTTTTGGGGAAAGTTGAAACATAGTCATGAAAATTGTTTTCTCTAGAATCGCAGTTGAGAAAGCATACTCATATTTAACCTTGATGAAAATAAAATTAGTTTAAGGAAAATTTTAAGCTGTCAGATAACCTTGGGTTATAGTGTGGAATTTTCTTAAATTACTGGTATTCTTAATTATTTCTCCTAAAAGTCATGCCTAAAGATAATTACAGTTGACCCTTGAACAACATGGATTTGAACTGCAAGGGTCCACTTACATTCAGGTTTTTTCCGTAAATACATACTATAGTACTACGTGTTCCATAACTGGTTGAATCCTCTAATGTGAAACTCCAGATATGGAGGGTCAGAAGGCCAGACAGCCAACTGTAAAGTTACACTCAGATTTTTAACCTTGGGGGTTGACACCCCTAAACTGCTTGATGTTCAAGAGCCACCCCTAAACTGCTTGATGTTCAAGAGCCAACTGTACTTATTAATTAGAGAATTCTTGTTATTGAGATTTTCCTGAGCTATTTTAATGAGTAAATTCTTAACAAAATGATTCTTAAACTTTCTTTTTCAGGTTTTGTTATGCCTGTCAGGGGGAATTGAAAGACCAACATGTAAGTTCATGTGCTTTGTAAATATTAAGTATTGTACAATAAATATTGAGGAAATGGTATTATAAATTTTCAATAGATTGTTGAAGACCAAGCTCATATCACGTTATTCCTCAGAAGTATAGCAGTCAGTGGAGATTAAATGGGAGGTGTTACAAACAGTTGTTTTGTAATTCTGCATTCTAATTTTGCTATAAAGATATTTTAGTACATTGTCTTCAGTTTGCAAGCTAAACTGCATTTAGTTTGGAAGTACTAAAAGTTTTCTCTTTTTTTTTTAACTTTAGGCTCTCATTTTTTACTTTTTACTTTATTTTACTTTAGGCTCTCATAACTCATTTTGAAGTTACCATTTATGGTGGCCACAGATCTTAAGGATATTCTCCCCATTGAGACACTGAGAAAATATTTTTTTAAAATGTTAACAGGGGCCAATTTGAACATATCAACTTATATAAAGTTGCAAATAAGAGAGGTCACTGTTTAGTTTTATTTTAGTTAAATATCCATATTTGAAACTATATAAACTATATAAAATACTAGTAGAAAGGATTGCTTGTTTCATTTTACTCTCAACATTTCATAAGACAGTTTTATTTGGAATTCTCTGGTGGTCTGGTGGTTGGTAGTGGTGCTCTCATTGCCCTGGCTCACCTTCAGTCCCTGCTCAGGGAACTGAGATTCCCATAAGCTGTGAGGCATGGCCAAAAGAAAACCATTAAAAAAAAAAATTTATGAAGCTTTACAGGCCTCTCTGGCATCATTAGCTGCATTCTCACTAGAATCACTTTTTGACTCATTTGATAGTTTTTAAGAATACAGTATCATTACTTCTGTGCTGTTTTGAGATTTGATGATTTTTTAATCTGTGTATGATGTTGCCCTGGAAATTTCACCCCAAGGCACTCGTATTTATATATATAATATTGATTGAATATTATTATTCTTTATTTTATTTTTATTATTTATTATGTAAATATGACAATAAGAATAAAATAATTTATATATTTTATATATATGTCTTTTGCCTTATTGTTTAGTGGTTTAATTAAAAGAGGAATAAAACTTTTATAATTCCCTAGGTATAACAAATTTCTGTTAAAACTTTTGTGCTTCTCTTTTTAATTGAATCACTCCAGTAACCTATCGAAGCACTAATTTCAAGCTCATGTGTCTTCCCCAAATAATTACTTAAAATGAAGTAAATCAAGAGTATCCTATAATTCAAGGGACTTTAAGGACTCAGAAACAAAATTATTCCCTTATTTCTAAGGAATAATTTTTTGGAAAGAATTAATTTCCATAGATTTGAGAATATATAGTACATTAGAACTAATAAAGCAGGTAGGTGAGTGGGGAAGAACTGATAGGTATATGAAAGAGCAAAGCAACTTGCAAGTCTTCTAGCTATGCTGTACTTAACTTTTGGAAACTACTTTTTAAATTCAGGTTTTCTTCTTTTTATTGCAGGTGTATGTTTGCAGTGTGTGCCAGAATGTATTCTGTGTGGACTGTGATGTTTTTGTTCATGACTCTCTCCATTGTTGTCCTGGCTGTATTCATAAGATTCCAGTTCCTTCAGGTATTTGATCCCAGCATGTAATGCACATTGAATGTGTTAAAAAGAAATTTGTGGCTGTAAATAAAATGATTCTTTAGTAGAAACTCCAGTTAAAATATGAAGAACAGTTTGAAAGGAAAATCTGGTTTCAGAAGCCTGTTGCTTTAAAGCGTCCTCTGTAATGATTGGTTAAGTAATTGCTTAATGGAGCATATCTAATGCCACCATTCTGGTGGTTTGTTATTTGATTTACCTTATAGTTCAGGTTAATGAGCTATCCTTGTTAGCCTTACTCAGGTTCATACCCAAGGACTATTTAACTTAATCCTCCTCAACTTTCCTACTCTGGGTCATCAGAAAAATGTAGGTGAGAATGTGTGATGAGGTCTGTGTTTCAGGCTCGATGAAGGTGTACTGCTGTAGGCAGAAAGGCAAAACTCTTTTTAGGGTGTACCTTTTTGAGAGTGAATCAAGTTTCCATAGCAAAAGTAAGTTTATTTTACCTTTACAAACTTTGGTCACTCTAGATTGAGTTTCATTATGATATTCATGATTTTATAAATAATAAGTCTTAGTGAAGAATATTATCAGTAAATACAGTGTAATCCCATCCTGAAGAGTCTTTTCAATAAGTCTTGGGGGGATCCCAGGAATATGCTTTTTTTTTTTCCAGTTATATGTACATACACATATATGTTATTTTTCAGATTATTTTCCCTTGTAGGCTAATAGAAGAAATATGCATTTTTAACAGCACATGTGTGCACACACTTACTAATAGACATAATTAGATATAAGTACGGATCTTTCTCCCAAGAGTCATACTCTCTGCCTAGACCCAAATGGTTCTTTACAAGCAAACAGATTTCGGCTGTAGGTAACCAGGTAACTGCCGTCTTCCTTCCTTCTGCTCTGTCCACAAGAGGTATCAGTGGCTTGAAGGAGATGCCTTTAATGTAATCAGAGTATCCTCTCTCTCTCTACTTGAATTAAAAGAAAGGCTATGAGTAGGCACCTTTTGAAAAGTTACTTAGAAATACCTTAATACACACCCACACTACTCTGTATAAAAGGGATATTGAGTGCCTTTTGGGCCTCTTCTTTATCTCTTATCTCTTTATCTCTTTTGGGTTTTATTAGTATAATTGACAAGGTTAAGGTGAGTATTTTAGTTAGGCTTAAGGAGGAATTTCCAGTCTCAAAATTATAGAGAAAACCCTAGCTTGTTTAAGATTGTAAAAATAAAAATGATGATCTGATAACACTGTTAGTTCTGGCCTTAACTTCCCTTATGGAACATCATAATATACTATAAAAATGAAGGAAACTATTCAACATTAGAGACCTTTGTGAGCAGTATGTCTTTCTGAGTTCTGTTGTTTGATTAGAAAACTCCTTGAGACTTAAAATTAATTATGAAAATTAGACTTATTTTAAATACTTTCGAATGCATACATTTTGCTTCATATTCTTTTTTATTATGCCTGACAGTCTTTTATCTTTTAACTGAGGCATTCAATCCATTTATATTTAATATGCCTACTGATATGAGTGAGTGAGTGAAATCGCTCAGTCGTGTCCGACTCTTCGCGACCCCATGCACTGTAGCCTACCAGGATCCTCAGTCCATGGGATTTTCCAAGCAAGAATACTGGAGTGGGTTGCCATTTCCTTCTCCAGGGGATCTTCCCGACCTAGGGATTGAACCCCGGTCTCCCACATTGTAGGCAGACGCTTTACCATCTGAGCTACCAGGGAAGACCAGGCACAATGACCTCTAACTCACCAGGCACGTTCCTATTCCAGGGACTTCACATGTGCTCTCACCTTTGCATGAAAGATTTAAAAAAGAAAAAAAAAAATTTCACAGGATTCTCTCATATTATTCAGATCTCTCTGTGCTCAAATGTCACCAGATCTCTCAGCCTCTATCTAAACCACTCTGACATTCTCTACCACCCTAATTTGCTTTACTTATTTTCTTCCACATTTTAGGTTTTTTTTTTAATACTTTATTTTTTCACATTTCACTTACTTTTACATTTTTTACATAATATATCAATGTATATATTGGTTTATTTTCTGATTCTGCAACTAAAATGTAAGCTTCATGAAAGTGATTTCCGTCTGTTAGATCCATCTAAAATGGTGTCCAATGTACAAAATTCAGTAAATGTTGAATTTTGAATAAATGACATGAGTAGATAAATGCATAAATCAAGAAAAAAATTTTTACTTTTCATGCAGTATATTTATCTCATTAGCTTTTTAATAAATGCTTACTACATTGTGTAATATAAATTTTTTCTAAATTTTTAGTTCTTCTATAAAACACCATACTGGTTAATACTCAACCTTTTGTCATTTGCTGGATATTTTAATGAACAGAAATTATCTATAGTTAAATATTAATTCAAGAGTATTTTACTCACTTTGCCTGACTGCAACCGATGTATTCTTGAGTCACATACTTTCTTCACAAATAATAAGCTATTTATTTGATTTTTGATGGTGTTGATATCATCACCAGCTGTATCTGATATATTTTGGTTTAAATCTACCATCCTACTTCGTGCTATTTGCTTCAGTTATTCTATCTTCATTTTTCTCTTCTTTTTTTTGCCTTTTTTTGGATTGCTTGTTTCCCACCATTCTGTGTTTTCCTCAACTAGTTTGCAAATTGTATACTTTATTTTTATTCTTTTAGTGGTTATCCTAGAAATTATGGTACACATAAATCCTTAAGTTGGGTCCTCTAGAAAGCAGAATGTCCAGCAAAGGTGAAAGTGTTGCTACTTTATTTGGGGGGTGTGGATCAGGGATACAAAGATAAGGAGAGAAAGGGAAAGTGAGACAAGGAAAAACAATGTGTTATCATGGTGGCCAGACTTGATGACGAACTGTGAAAAATCATAAGGTCTCCCAGCAAGTGTGTTCACTTAAGAGTTTGGGACGTCTCCAGAAGATTGATTTATTAGGAGGAGTTGCCCCTCTGTGCAGTCCATCGAAGGGAGGAAGGAAGAGTAATGCAGTTTCCTGACTTTTCCCATTTCCCATTGGCCAGCCAGTGCAGTGTCATCTGGTCCTTTGGCTTAGTCATTCCGTCGCATAGACTCTTTGCAACCCCATAGACTGCAGTCCGCCAGGCTTCTCTGTCCATGGGGATTCTCCAGGTAAGAATACTAAAGTGGGTTGCCATTTCCTACTCCAAGGGATTTCCCCAACCCAGGGATCGATCCTAGGTATGCCACATTGCAGGCAGATTCTTTATCCTTTGGTAATCGCTAAGGAAGTCAGTCAGCCCCACCCATCAACAGAAAATTAAAGATTTACTGAGCATGATTGAAGACAGGAGGACAAGTGGATGACAGAGGATGAGATGGCTAGATAGAATCACCAACTCAATGGACATGAGTTTGAGCAACCTCCAGGAGTTGGTAATAGACAGGGAAGCCTGACATGCTGCAGTCCATGAGGTCGCAAAGAGTTAGACATGACTGAGCAACTGAACTAAACTGAACTGAGCATGGCCCTACCCATCAGAGCAAGACTCAGATTCCCCCACAGCCAGGCCCTCTCATCAGGAAGCTTCCATAACCCTCTTATCCTTATCCTTCAGAGGGCAGACAGAATGAAAACCACAATCAGAAAACTAAGCAAACTGATCACATGGATCACAGCCTTGTCTAACTCAGTGAAACGATGAGCCATGCTGTGTAGGGCCACTCAAGAAGGACAGGTCATAGTGGAGAGTTCTGAAAAAACATGGTCCACTGGAGAAGGGAATGGCAAACCCTTCTTCAGTATCCTTGCCTTGAGAACCCCATGAACAGTATGAAAAGGCAAAAAGAAATGTTACTGAAAGATGAACTCCCCAGGTCAATAGGTGCCTAGTATGCTACTGGAGAAGAGTGGAGAAATAGCTCAGGAAAGAATGAAGAGGCTGAGGCAAAGCAAAAACACCACCCAGTTGTGAATGCGACTGGTGATGCAAGTAAAGTCTGATGCTATAAAGAGCAGTGTTGCATAGGAACCTGGAATGTTAGGCCCATGAATCAAGGTAAATTGGAAGTGGTCAAACAGGTGATGGCAAGAGTGAACATTGACATTTTAGGAATCAGCAAACTAAAATGGACTGGAAGGGGCAAATTTAATTCAGATGACCATTACATCTACTACTGTGGGCAAGAATCCCTTAGAAGAAATGGAGTAGCCCTTATAGTCAACAAAGGAGTCTGAGATGCAGTACTTGGGTGCAATCTCAAAAACAGCAGAATGATCTCTGTTTGTTTACAAGGCAAACCATTCAATATCACAGTAATCCAAGACTATGCCTCAACCACTAATGCCAAAGAAGCAGAAGTTGAATGGTTCTCTGAAGACCTATAAGACCTTTTAGAACTGACACCAAAAAAATTTGTCCTTTTCATCATAGTGGAATGGAATGCAAAGGTAGGAAGTCAAGAGATACCTGGAATAACAGGCACATTTGGCCTTGGAGTACAAAATGAAGCAGAACAAAGGCTAACAGAGTTTTGCCAAGAGAGCTCACTGGTCATAGCAAACACCCTCTTCCAACAACACAAGAGATGACTCTACACATAGACATCACCAGATGGTCAATATTGAAATCAGATTGATTCTGTTCTTTGCAGCCAAAGATGGAGAAGCTCTACAGAGTCAGCAAAAAAAAAAAAAAGACCAAGAACTGACTGAGGCTCAGATCATGAACTCCTTATTGCAAAATTCAGACTTAAATTGAAGAAAGTAGGAAAAACCATTAGACCATTCAGGTATGACCTAAATCAAATCCCTTACAGTTATACAGTGGAAGTGACAAATAGTTTCAAGGGATTAGATCTGATAGAGTGCCTGAAGAACTATGGAACAAGGTTCGTGACATTGTACAGGAGGCTGTGATCAAAATCATCCCCAAGAAAAAGAAATGGAAAAAGGCAAAATGGTTGTCTGAGGAGGCATTACAAATAGCTGAGAAAAAAAAGAGAAGTGAAAGGCAAAAG